AGCAGCACCTACTTCTGAAAAGTCCCCAGGATCAGCCCTTAAAGAAGAACTCAGTGTCACCACAGCCATTGTGAAAAGCAAGATGCCCTTTGCCCAAGGCATGGTACGTTTTCAAACAAGCACCAAGAAACTCAGAATTATTAGAAAAACCTTAACTCTACACCTTGACAAGCTACCTGAGGCATGCTGTGCTATTTGTACTCACGTTTGAATCGCTCAGTGATATTGGCTGACCAATCAAATCTGTTAATCAGTCAGCTTGTTGTTTTCACCTGTGCCTCATTATGCTGAGATTTAAGACAGGCCCCTTGTCCAAATACCCACACTTGCAGTCTTTACGCTTGACCACTTGACTACTTATATGATGTATTTCCTGTATGTTGTGCAAGTGTTCAAGTGAGCATGAAGACCACAAGTGTGTGTAGAACTTTTCATTACCTGGGGGGTATTCTAGAATGCAGGTTATGTGACGGGTAAGTAAGCGGATAAACTCCGCTTCCGGTTCCAAAAACGGAGGTAACTCTCAGGGTATGTAAGTAGCCATAGCAACTTACTCTCTGAACATAACCTGCTCCGGAGTAGGTTATGTTTCAGGGTTAGTTTACTTCAGCGCTCTCAGTGCATGCATGACCTTATAATATTATATATGATTACAATATAGTTATCAAATATACTATATATATATATATATATAGAGAGAGAGAGAGAGAGAGAGAGGAGTTGTATGATATGTTAATTTTATAAGTAATATATAAGGTAATATTATATTATTCTAATATGACTCCTTTCCAGTTATTCAGCAACAGTTCAGCTCAGTTCCTATCTATTCTCCTCCAAGGCCCTATTGGTAACCTCTTCAACAGTCTGTTCCAGCTAGGGATGTGCAAAATTGACAAAAATTATATCTCATAATTTTCTGGGATTTTATTGCTAACAATAAGGAGAAAATATTTTACTAAGTGTGTTTTTTCTGCTGTGAACAGCTGGCTCCCAAAGCTTTTCATATTCTTAATATTCTGTGCAGGGATTAGTTCACAGCAGTGAAAGAAATGAATTTTCACTGAAGGGTGATATTTGCCTCCTTAAATTGCTTTTCAGGGGTTATTTTTACCATTATATGGCCAATTTTTGTAACATTACGTATGCATCATCTTCTATTAAATTCTTATATGTAATCAAACTCAATTACAATAAAACACTACAGGCTACCAATCAAACTAAATCTATTTTTGATGTTTTCACACGTACAATTGCATAAATGTGAATAGAGTTTTAAAAACATTTACATTTTTGAAATACTGAAATAAGATTTATAAAAAAAAAAAAGACACTTTAAATTTGAAAGTGAAACTTTCAGTAGGTGACTATGGTTCATTCTTAAAGAGCAGGTCATATGGTATTTTAAAGGAGACATATTATGCCCCTTTTTACAATATGTAATACAAGTCTCTGGTGTCCCCAGAATGTGTGTGTGAAGTTTCAGCTCAAAATACTCCACAGATCATTTATTATATAATTCTGAAAATGCCTATTTTAAGTGGAAGCAGAAACAAGCTGTTTTTCGTGCCTGGCTCATTAAATGCAAATGAGCTGCTGCTCCCCGCCCCCTTTTCCAGAACAGAGCTGCACCATTACAGCTC